CTGGGGGTGGGGGTGTCACTGATGAGTTGTCAATAGCCTCACATCACGCTGCCATGGATTTCCTTGTAGGCCACAGGCAACATCTTGGATTTTGAACGACCTGGGATACTCTTAAAGTAAAATCGCCATCAAACTTCCTTCTAAAACAAAATTCAAAATTAATTTCATTAACTTTTTTTGAACAAAAATAATTTCAGTTTTCAAATGTCTCTTAGCAGGTTCCATATATCTCTCTTGTCTGGATTTCCCCTAAAGAGACAAAACAGCCAAGGAATTAAAAACAAAGGCACTCAGTTGCAGCAATGCAGACGCAGCATTATTTCATAATCTGATTCCCCCAATCAGGATCTGATACAACCATAATCAGAAACAGGGCAAAATTACTGTAGATAATTTACAGAACAGCAACAAAGGAAAAAAAGCAAAGGGAAGAGAAAAAGACACACTCTGCAACCATCCTGGAATAAGGAAGCCATCCCAGCTTCTGATAGGAACCCGGAATGTCTTGTTTTTTGGTCCTGCTCTCTGGGGTGAGTCAGCTGGCTTGCACCAGTGCCAGACCAAAAGATGCTCATTTTTAGGTTCCACACTCGCATGATTCACCTGTCTCCCACAAGAGCTCGGGACCAAAAAACAAGTGTCCTGATTTTTCTCAGTGGGATGTTGGAGGGTATGGAAAGAGAGGTTGTGTCCCAAGGGGCTTATAGGAAAAACAAATGTTTGGGGGGTGAGTGAGAAGCAAGGGTAACCAAATGACCAAGAATAGTGAGAAATGGAAGAAGTGAATAAATGAGATGCACATGAGCAAGTGTTTTGGCTTTGTTTCACTGGAGGATGAGGACTGAGGCAGTAAACCAAGTGCTTCAAAGAAGATGTGGATTTTTTAAGAAGAATCTGAAGGAGGGATGAGTAAAAAATCTTGTGATTCCTCTGATCCTCAAGAGTCTTGTCCTCCTGATCATGTGTCTAGTCAAGTTTCAACTGTTGGCTTTACAGCACCCTTTTCTCCCTTGGTCTTTCTCTCCAAATTGCTCTGATCAGTCGCCAGTACATTGGGGAATTATATGCCTGCACTGATTCTGGTGAATAGGTTCTCACTTCCCATTTCTCACATACTGTCACAGTTGCTTTGTCTAGGGATGCAAGATGAACTTCATATCTTGAAAATGAAGCTGTTAATTTAGTTCAGGGAGCCCTTAACGTGCATTTGAGATTTCTTAGAGCTAGAATAATATAAGAGAACCTCCTTCCTTATAACAGTAATCAAAGATCAGTTTTTCAAAGCCAAATTCTATTGTTTCACTGAAGTAACAGCACAGGGATTCTCTGCCAGAATGGTTTGTGACTAGAACTTGAATATGCACTAAATTTTGCATGCTATTAAATAAAAAATATTGTTTTGCTCCTTCCAGGTTATCTTTTGCCCAGATTCTGTATTATGCAGATCAGAGACTTCTGTATTTCCTATACAATCTAAATAATAACCTTTAAAAAACTAGTTTGTACACAAATGATCAAAACAAATGGGAATATGAGAAAAATATTCAGGAATCTTCAGCAATATTTGACTTTATATATTAATTGGTTTAAGAAAGGAGAAATTAATTTGGACCAAAAGCATAATGGCTAACAACATAATTCCTCACTTGATGAAGGAAAAGTTTGCAGAGATGTTTTTCTAAATGTGAGGCCAATGCCTTTATAAAATAATTGCTTCCCCAATTGCTGCTTCTTCCCCAGATTGTGCTAATGGGGACTAGAGCTTGATTTCTCCAGGTGGAAATAAATTCATAGCTAGAGTTTGTTTGTCACTGATTGGAGTTGACTTTGCCAATATGAACCTGGGGAAAACAATATGAGGGAGCAGCATCTGAATCAGGAAAGTCCATGCGAGGCCCAGACTGATGCCCAGATACAGTGGTGGGTTGCATGAGGGAAAATAAGTTGAGTTTGACTCCTGGCAAGGCAGAGCCTCTGAGGGTGAGTGGTTACCGTGCCTCAGATATAGGCCAGCTGCCTGCCCTGGATGGGGTTGTATTCCTCTGAAGGAGCAGCTGTGTAATTGGGCATCGCTCCTGGATCCAACTCTGTTGTTAGGGACACCTTCCACTAGAAGTGCAGAAGCAGTGACTGTTCTTCTGATGGGATGGCTTGGTCACAGTAGTTCAAGCGCTGGTAATTTCAAGATTGAATTATTATGATGCACTATGTGTGGGGCATCTCTTGTGGTCGGTACGGAAGCTGCAGTTTCTGCAGAATGCTGTAGCTCGATTACTGACAGGAGTAAGATCTGGCCAGGAGCAGTGGTGCTGCAACAGTGTGTGTGTGTGTGCTTCACCCCGGGTGCCATGTCTGGGAGGGTGACAAGAAGGCACCCCATGGGGGCTTGTCCCGCCGCGGCGGCGTGAGCAGCCATCGTGCCGCTGCAGCTGCATGTGGAGGATCCTCTGTTCATGGCTGCAGCTGCAAGCAGAGGATCCCAGCGCAGTCAGCAAACCGCTATGTACAGCGCATGTGCAGTGTCGTATGCATGCACTGTATGTAGCGATGCCGCACATGCGATGTACATTGCGGTTTGCCATCGGCGCCACTCGAACGCCATACGGACGGTGGTGGGATCCCTCCATCGTCGCTACAGATGCATGTAGAGGATCCCAGCACCGTCCATATCGCACCGGAGCAGCGCCACCGGCAAACCACTATGTACAGCGCATGTGCAACATCGCTACGCACGGCGCATGCGTCATATGTAGTGATGCCGGACATGCGCCCTATGTAGCGACGCCCGCCCCGGGTGTCACAACGCCTTTGTTCTCCCCTGGCCAGGAGATTACATCTGTGCTTAAAGATCTACACTGGCTGCTGATTTGCTAGGAGCCAAAGCTCAAGGTCTTACATATAAAGCCCTTAATAGCTTGGGACCAGTTTACCTGAAGCGTGTGCCTCACTCAGATCTATGAAACTTGGACTCTTGCAAGGACTGCACCATACAATGTTCACTCTACATCTGCAGGAAGGTCAGCGTTCAGTTTGGTCCGCTGGACCTTCCCACCTTCATTATGCTGTTGTATACAGCTGCTAAAACCCATTTTGTTTTGGCAAGTCTATTTGGACATGTAAATGAGCTATGAATACCTGTTTTAAAGTTTTGCTGATTTTTATTTTTATATTGATAATTGTTTTATTCTCTTCTATGGTACACCACTTGAGGATTCTTTAATAAAGCAGCCAGCTTGTACATTATTCTAAATAAAAAGAAATATGGGATGGCTTACTACAGTGTAAACACTCTCTGAAAGGCAGAGAAAGACAAACAATTATCCTGTGTGCTATGAACTGTTACATCCAAACAGTACAGAAACGACAACTATTGCCTAGAAAGTGACTTCAGTCCCTTTCCCCCCTCACGGAACTACAATTCCAATGGTCAGTCCCTCTTCCCAGGGAATTCTGGGAATTGTGAGTGGAAAGGGGGTCTCTTTACAACTCTCAGCAGCCTTAACACACTACACTTCCCAGGATTCTCTGGGGGAAGCTGTGACTGTTTAAAGTGTATGATTTTGCTTTAAATGTATAGTGAAGATGGAACCTTAGAAGTAAATCCAGCATGATTTTTCTGGGCATTCTGGGTTTAAAAGTACCAGGTACATGCAGCTTTGCCCACTAGGTGAACTGGTGATGTTAGCTTCGTTCCTTTCCAGTGCTTGTCCAAGGATTGCCTTTTAGGTTATTCCAGAGCTATGCATTGCAATCCTGTGCATATTTACTTAGAAGTAAATCTTCCTAATTTCAATGGGACAGTTCCCTAGATAGAATGCACAGGACTGCAGCCTTGTGGTTAGAAGATGTGTAGAGTCAAAACACGGATATTCCCCTCCGACCATGTTGTAAGAGCATTCTCCTCCTCATTTGCTCACTTTGGGTTAAAGAAGATGACCTTTTGTTTTGCTAGATAGTGTCTTTTTGAAGAGGTGCCTTTAGATTTGTTTTCCTAGTTGGCATAACTTATTTTCACTTACTTATAGTTTCCATAGCCAGCTAATTATATTGACAGGTTGAAATTAGCATCAAACAATCTGAACAAGATACTGACAGTCCCAGAGATCATGACTGTATCACACATAAGGAAGAATGATGAAAAATTGGGAACAGCACCCCAACACCACTTCTTGCCCCAATACAACACATTTAGAAATGGGGGGGGGGTATTAAAATCCCTAGGCATGGACTAGTGGGCCTTCTCTTTTTTTCTCAGGGCTGAAACCAATTGCCCCCAAGGAGGCCTGTGCAGGGCTGGGGGTAGCTGGGTACACTTGCCCCAGGCTTCGGAGGGCTGAACTGTCTGGACTCCCCCACCAGGGGCCTGCCAGGCTTACGCTGTCCCGCCCTGGGCTTCAGACAAGCTCTGCCTGGACCTGCCCTCTAGCTTGCGTATAAATTAGAAGAATAAAGCCTTCAGAAAGCACGGGGAGGGAATGGAACAATTGCACAGAAAAGGAGCTAGGCAGCCCCCATTTGACACTGCAAAGATTAGATCAAGGTGCCTTACATTAGATGCTTTCATTTTTTTAATTCATCGCTGTGCACTTTTATTTCTAACCCTAGCCTCAAGGATGATGCCAGCCTTGTTCTGTGATTTGTCCCCTTTTCCTCCTCCAGATGTCCAAATGGATTCTTCGGACAGAGATGTTTGGAGAAACAGCCTTTGCGATTGTACATGCCAGATCCTAAGCAAAGTATGTTTGAAGAAAAAAATTGCACCATACTACTTATAATCTCCTGGGTACAGCGCTGGATTTAGAATGGCATAGTGAGGGTGTTCTTTTGAGTTAAGATCTGGGTTAAGGTTTAGGGTTGCAGGTAAGGGACCAACCCCAGGCGCACCAGAGGAGAAATCTCGAAAGGGAGCGGATTTGGCAGCAGAAAGAGCCTCGTTTCAGTCTGTTTGGATGTCATGCTATCTTGTTTCTCTCTCTTTCTGGTTTTCTTTCTTTTGTTAGGTGTCCGAACGAATTCACAGGGGACCAGTGTCAGAACTTCGCAATGGCCAGCTTCTCCAGTATGTCTCTTTCCACTTCTCTCTTTCTCTGTTTTATCATAGCACACTGTGTGACACCTTTAAAGCAGCTCTTTTCTGAATAGGAACCTTCACTTTCCTGCTTTGTGCTTCAGTTGTTATTGCTCCTGATTCTAATCTGAACAGAACTCACCACTGATGTATAGTTCAGGCAAAATCTAAATGCAGCAAGGAATGAGGCTGTGTACGCATTGTCATTTCTTCTGTGCACCAGGCGATATTACCCACAATGTAGAGCTGTCCTGTAGTTGGTTGAGAAATAATGCTGTTTGATGCATTTGGTCTCAACACAGCTTAAATCTGAAAGCAAAACTTAAGCCACATTCACTTCACATTTCAGCTGAGGTGTCTGTGTTTGTGAGAGCAGTTGCGCATGTGTGTGCTTCATGAATAGTCATTTGGGGGAAAGTTACCGGGGCTGGGAAAACAATGCAGGTTAATGAGCATTGAGTGAATACATCCCTACCTCGCCTCTCGTGTGCACAACAAAATGCAAAAGCAACTTGAAACACAGTAGGAAGGAAGCAACTGCAGCACGTTTTAAGCTGCTAATGCATACATAGCCCGAGTCCAGTTAATCTGTGAGCTGCCCTGAAAGTGTTTAGCCTGCAAGGAGGTCATTAGTTCATTATGTCACAAAGCATAATGCAAGGGGATCGCTCTTCTTGTCCTCAGAGCTATAACAATTTGGCAATTAGATGAAGATTGCACCTAAGTCTGAACTTTAAAAACAAGTCCAGTTTTATTCTAAGGGCACTCTATGATGGCAACAGAGGAAGTGACTGCAGCTAAAAAGACATGGAGAGAACCAAAGTTCTCTGCTGCCATCAAATGACCCTATAATGTGTCAGCCTTGCCAATCTGAGGACTATATGATGCCATTTTGTATCAAGACAATGACACTATTAGTAACCCAACCTGTAGCCATACCTGTGTTGAGCCATCTGTTCCCAAATGCCTGGCAGCTGGCGTAAATCCCTTGTGCCAACATGGAGACCCTGCAGCTCAGTACCACTGAGCAGCGATCCACAGAACCAGGACATCCTGTTATTTGCTTTCCCAGAAATGTTGTTCATTATGAAATATGGGTGGGTGGCTGCTTTTTTACACAATTTTGAAAAAAATTGGAAGTCTTTGCTTTCAGACCCAAATTTGATATTATAGTTGATACCAAAAAGTTGGGGAAATGTAGGTAACAACAAAAACAAATTTTGAAAAAAGCATGTTTTGGACCTTCCAGTTTCACCTCTGCTGGATTTGCTGCTCAACGCCTTAAATGGCACTGCAGCCTATCACAATCTGCCTTGCATGGTAAAATGAGGACTAGGTGGAAGGGTAGCAATGGCTATAAAGGGAGGATGGCTGGTGACCATACTGCCTGCTGCACAAGCTTGTGTATTGGCTTCTACACGAGGAAGTGCACTTTGGAATATTGGTATCGGGTTTCAGGATGTGGCCTCCGCCCTGCCCCCATTTTCACTACTGGTGGTTTTTAGTGGATTGGGGGGATATAAATGTTTAAATAAATGATATTTTCTGCATACATGGCTAATTTCATTGCAATGCAACCTTCTTCAAACAAATGATGCTTAAGAACAGTGATGCTCTTGCTTTTAAGAGCTTAGGATAGGAATTCTGGCCATATAAGTCCTACACTCTGTCATAAAGAGTACAGTGGTGCCTCGCAAGACGAAATTAATTCGTTCCGCAAGTCTCTTCGTCTTGCGGTTTTTTCGTCTTGCGATGCACGGTTTCCCATAGGAATGCATTGAAAATCAATTAATGCGTTCCTAGGGAAACCGCCTTCAGACCAGGTCCGGGGACAGTCTGTCCCCGGACCTCTTCTGAAGGCTGGGGGGGGGGGGGAACAAGGGCTTTTCTTCCCACCCCCAGCATTTTAAAAAACCCTGGGACAGCGGAGGACTTCTCCGCTGTCCGGGGCGATTTAAAAGCCCCTGGGAATGCAGGCAGGGGGGACAAAGACTTTTGCCCCCCGCCCGCCTTCAGAAGGTGTTCCCGCCCCCCGCCCCGCTTCGGAACAGCGTTCCGAAGTGGGGCGGCTGGGGCAGTTGTTCCCGCCCCCCCTCCCCGCTTCGGAACAGCTTTCCGAAGTGGGGCGGCTGGGCCAGGTGTCCCCGCCCCCCCTCCCACTTCGGAACAGCTTTCCGAAGTGGGGCGGCTGGGCCAGGTGTCCCCGCCCCCTCCCCACTTCGGAACAGCTTTCCGAAGTGGGGCGGCTGGGCCAGGTGTCCCCGCCCCCCTCCCCACTTCGGAACAGCTTTCCGAAGTGGGGCGGCTGGGGCAGTTGTTCCCGCCCCCCCTCCCCACTTCGGAACAGCTTTCCGAAGTGGGGCGGCTGGGCCAGGTGTCCCCGCCCCCCCTCCCCACTTCGGAACAGCTTTCCGAAGTGGGGCGGCTGGGCCAGGTGTCCCCGCCCCCCCTCCCCACTTCGGAACAGCTTTCCGAAGTGGGGCGGCTGGGGCAGTTGTTCCCGCCCCCCTCCCCACTTCGGAACAGCTTTCCGAAGTGGGGCGGCTGGGGCAGTTGTTCCCGCCCCCCCTCCCCACTTCGGAACAGCTTTCCGAAGTGGGGCGGCTGGGCCAGGTGTCCCCGCCCCCCCCCCCACTTCGGAACAGCTTTCCGAAGTGGGGCGGCTGGGGCAGTTGTTCCCGCCCCCCCTCCCCACTTCGGAACAGCTTTCCGAAGTGGGGCGGCTGGGCCAGGTGTCCCCGCCCCCCCTCCCCACTTCGGAACAGCTTTCCGAAGTGGGGCGGCTGGGGCAGTTGTTCCCGCCCCCCCTCCCCACTTCGGAACAGCTTTCCGAAGTGGGGCGGCTGGGGCAGTTGTTCCCGCCCCCCCTCCCCACTTCGGAACAGCTTTCCGAAGTGGGGCGGCTGGGGCAGTTGTTCCCGCCCCCCCTCCCCACTTCGGAACAGCTTTCCGAAGTGGGGCGGCTGGGGCAGTTGTTCCCATAGGCGCCGACTCCATGGGGCCTGAGGGGGCTCGAGCCCCCTCAAAAATTTTTTTGAGGGGGCTCAGCCCCCCCAATAATCTCGGGCGCCCTTCCAGCAGAGCGCCGCCGCCGTCCCCCGCCTCCTCCCCACCTGCTCCCTCGCCAGCCAGCCAGCCGCGCGCCCTAGTCGGAGAGCCCCGGCCGTCCCCCGCGAGATTAAGGAATCCCCGGGGGCGGGGGCTCCTGCCTCGCTGCTTCGCAGCACCACCGCCACTGCCAAGGCACTGCCGGGGGGAATTTCCTTCCTCCTGGCCCCCGCGAGAACAGGGGAATCCCGACTGGTCACACCTCCCAGCCAGCCGATTGGCTGGCTGGGGGGCGTGGCTTGCCCTATTTAGGGCCGGAGCCACTTTATTTGCATATTCATGAGCTTATTTATTATTCATGAGCTTTCCCGGGCCCCCCCAATATTTTTTATAAGTCCGCGTCCCTGGTTGTTCCCGCCCCCCCTCCCCACTTTGGAACAGCTTTCCGAAGTGGGGCGGCTGGGGCAGTTGTTCCCGCCCCCCCTCCCCACTTCGGAACAGCTTTCCGAAGTGGGGCGGCTGGGCCAGGTGTCCCCGCCCCCCCTCCCCACTTCGGAAAAGCTTTCCGAAGTGAGGCGGCTGGGGCAGTTGTTCCCGCCCCCCCTCCCCACTTCGGAACAGCTTTCTGAAGTGGGGCGGCTGGGGCAGTTGTTCCCGCCCCCCCTCCCCACTTCGGAACAGCTTTCCGAAGTGGGGCGGCTGGGCCAGGTGTCCCCGCCCCCTCTCCCCACTTCGGAACAGCTTTCCGAAGTGGGGCGGCTGGGGCAGGTGTCCCCGCCCCCCCCCTTCGGAACAGCGTTTTTAAAATGCTGGGGGTCGGGAGCGAAGCGCTGCCGACCCCCAGCATTTTAAAATCTCCCCGTGTCCCGGGAAGATTTTAAAATGCTGGGGGTCGGCATTTTAAAACCTTCCCGGGACACGGGGAGATTTTAAAATGCTGGGGGTCGGCAGCGCTTCGCTCCCGACCCCCAGCATTTTAAAACCTTCCCGGGACAGAGACTTCTCTGCTGTCCCTTGGAGATTTTAAAATGCTGGGGGTCGGCAGCGAACGCTTCGCTCCCGCCCGCCAGCATTTTAAGATCGCCCGGGGCAGGCGGGGGGGGGGGGCAAGACTTTTGCCCCCCTCCGGCCTTCAGAAGAGGTCCTCTTCTGAAGGCCGGCTGTGGGCGAAAGTCTTTGCTCCCGACCGCCAGCATTTCCCTATGGGCTTTCGTCTTGCGATGCAAGCCCATAGGGAAATTCGTCTTGCGAAGCGCCTCCAAAACAGAAAACCCTTTCGTCTTGCGGGTTTTCCGTCTTGCGAGGCATTCGTCTTGCGGGGTACCACTGTATTCAATAATCTGAGCCTTACGAAGTTTTGTAAACTATAAACTAAAACAAAACAAACACAAAACCCAATAAAATAGTTTTAAAGTTCCAACAGAATACTTCCACTCGTGCAAGTAAACACGAGTCTAAACATATGCATGTTTAGTTGGTACAGTAGTCATATGCAGGACTATTTTTTCCTAAATTCCGCGGCAGTTTAGTTCAATGGGGGAGCATCTGCTTTGCATGGAGAAGGTTCCAGGTTCAGTCTTTGGCATTCCTAGGTAGGGCTGGGAAAGACTCCCCTCTGGAAACCCTGGGGGCCCTGCTAATGCCAGTCACGGCAGACAAACCTGATGGAATCATAGAATCATAGAATCCTAGAGTTGGAAGAGACCACAAGGGCCATCGAGTCCAACCCCCTGCCAAGCAGGAAACACCATCAGAGCACTCCTGACATATGGTTGTCAAGCCTCTGCTTAAAGACCTCCAAAGAAGGAGACTCCACCACACTCCTTGGCAGCAAATTCCACTGTCAAACAGCTCTTACTGTCAGGAAGTTCTTCCTAATGTTTAGGTGGAATCTTCTTTCTTGTAGTTTGGATCCATTGCTCTGTGTCCGCTTCTCTGGAGCA